GGTGTGATCTCGGCTCACTGCAATCTCCACATCCTGGGTTCAAGTGATTCTCCTGCCTCAGCCTCCTGAGTAGGAAGGATTACAGGCACCTGTCACCACACTTAGCTAATTTTTGTATTTTTAATAGAGACCAGTTTTCACCATGTTGGCCAGGCTGGTCTTCAACTCCTGACCTAAGGTGATCTGCTCACCATGACTTCCCAAAGTGCTGGGATTACAGGTGTGAGCCACCATGCCCCACCAATAATATCTGTTTATAAAAAAAAGGATTTAAAAGCAACATTAGCAAATATTAGTAAGTTAAAGTTCTAATACCATTCTTTAGATTATGAAGTTATTTTAGGCCCATAAGGGTGAAAAGAAACCAGGCCATTGGTCAGGAAAACATAATTTGTTAGAATTATAATGCAGATTTTTGATGTTACTCTTCCCTCATTTCTTGATCTCATTACTGCTCCAAAATCTTGCTTCATAAATTTATCCTGTTTTGCAGCTTAATCTCACCTTCTATTTTCTTCCCCTGTGCCTATGGAACCCCATTCCCTACCTCCCTAAACAAATCAAGAAGCCTCTCAATGCTACTGCATTTTCAAGCTCCTCTTCTTATATTCATCAGCAAGTTGTTTAAAGTCATCAATGATTTCCTTAACCATCAAATCCAATGGCCTTGGATTCCCCTTGATGGCTTGCTGTCTCTGTAGTATTTGACAACACTGGCTGACCTTTCCTTTTTGAAACCTGGAATCTTAGTTGTTATGAAACACACTCTCCAGATGTTTCTCTTAGCTTTCTGATGACTTTGTTTACTTTGTTGGTTTTTCTTCCTCATTTTCTTTATACATGGGTGATTCTCAAGGTTCTGGCTTCAAATTGTTTCACTATTCACTTTTTTTGGCACTTTCAAATACTGACTTTCAAAAGGGTATACATTTTTTTTTTTAATTTTTTTTGAGACGGAGTCTCATTCTGCCACCCAGACTGGAGGGCGGTGGCTGCCTCCCACGTTCAAGCGATTCTCTTGCCTCAGCTTCCCATGTAGCTGGGATTACAGGCGTGTACCACCACACCAGCTAATTTTAGTATTTTTAGTAGAGACAGGGTTTTGTCATGTTGGCCAGGCTGGTCTCAAACTTCTGACCTCAAGTGATCCACCCACCTCAGTCTCTCAAAGGGCTTACTTAAGGTGTGAGCCACCACACCCGGCCTACATCTATTTAACTGCTTCTGATCAGTTCGTCTCCTAACACCTATGTGATTGAATCCTAACCGTTCATTATCAAGAAAGACACAGCTTAACTTCTTAACTTCTTTTAAAAAGATCTTCCCCTTCTGAATCCCATGGTAGTTTTTTAACTTGCATTAGTTACTTATGTGTCTTACTTTCTGGCTTATATGCTCCTTCCCTCCCTCCCTTCCTTCCTTCCCTCCCTCCCTTTTTCTCTTTTTTTTTTTTTTCTTTCTTTCTCTCTCTCTCTCTCTCTCTTCCTTCCTTTAGGATATGGGGCCCTTGCCCTATAAACTTCTTTAGGAAGATTTTCTTTTTAAACTTTTATTTAGGTTTGGGGTACTTGTGAAGGTTTGCTGTAAAGATTATTTCATCACCCATGTATTAAGCCTTTTTCTGCTCCTCTCCATTCTCCCACCCTCCACCCTCAAGTAGATGCCAGATGAACAGATACTTTACAAAAAGACATACATGAGGCCAAGAAACATGAAAAAATGCTCATCATCACTGGTCATCAGAGAAATGCAAATCAAAACTACATTGAGATACCATCTCACGCCAGTTAGAATGGTGATCATTAAAAAATCTGGAGACAACAGATGCTGGAGAGGATGTGGAAAAATAGGAACACTTTTACACTGTTGGTGGGAGTGTAAATTAGTTCAACCATTGTGGAAGACAGTGTGGTGATTCCTCAAGGACCTAGAAATAGAAATTCCATTTGACCCAGCAATCCCATTACTGGGTATACATCCAAAGGATTATAAATCATTCTACTATAAGGACACGTGCACACGAATGTTCATTGCAGCACTGTTTACAATAGCAAAGACCTGGAACCAACCCAAATGCCCATCGATGATAGACTAGACAGGGAAAATGTGGCACATATACACCATGGAGTATTATGCAGCCATAAAAAACAATGAGTTTGTGTCCTTTGTAGAGACATGGATGAATCTGGAAACCATCATTCTCAGCAAACTGACAGAAGAATAGAAGATCAAACACTGCATGTTCTCACTCATAGGCGGGTGTTGAACAATGAGAACACATGGACACAGGGAGGGGAGCACTACACACTGGGGTCTGTTGGGGGGAAATAGGGGAGGGACGGGGGGGGGTGGGGAGTTGGGGAGAGATAGCATGGGGAGAAATGCCAGATATAGGTGATGGGGAGTAAGGCAGCAAATCACACTGCCACATGTGTACCTATGCAACAATCTTGCATGTTCTTCACATGTACCCCAAAACCTAAAATGCGATAAAATAAATGGAAAAAAAAAGATTTTCTATTTCAACTCTGCATCTTGCATACTGTAAAACACAGTGTTTTGTATTTTTTCATTTCTTTATTCAACATACGTAAGCACTGACTATGTGTTGTGCTAGGAGCTGGGTAATTGTTTAAAAAAAATGGGGTTTCTGCCCTCAGACAGTTTAGAGTCTTGTGAAAATACATAGTGTGATATATGATCAATAAAACTTTATTGAAAGAATGAATCTTACATCTTTAGCTCCTTTTTCATCTTCTCTCCCCAAACTCCTGACCTACATTCCTGTACCCTTTCCCCGGATAAATCCCACAGATTTCTCAAACCCAACAGCTGAATTGGATTCATGTGCTATGGACACAAGTTTGCCCCATGTTGAAGAAACTCACAGTCAAGCACCTTCTCTCCCTAAACCTGCTAATTTTAGTATCAATGTTACTATCTCCTCCTTATTGCCAAGGGGAAATCTTGGTATTCTTTTTAATTTCTTCTTTTTTCTTCATATTTAATTCTTTAATTCAAACAATTATCCCTCTTGTTGAGGTCCTTTCACCTATAGCAGAGGTTGAAAATTAGTGACCCATGAATTGTATCTAGCCAGTAGAGGTGTTTTATTTGTTTTGTATATTATTATCAAAAATATGATTTCCCTGTTTCTCCCGAAAACTCAGAACATCTGGCAACACTGGGTCCTTATCCTTACAAGAATTGTCTGGAGTTTTAGAGGGGACAGCTCAATCAACTCCACCATTATAAACTCTATTACTCCTTGCTTTTATCACATTGAGTCCATTTCCTCACTTAAGAAACTTTCTTAGTCCCTGATTTAGGCATTTGAGTTTGCTGTCTCCAGCCTATATGATCATAGACTACTAGTAGTGGAAGAGATATGAAAAGATCATCTCTTCTAAGTTTCCTTCCTCACTCCACTCTTTAAGAAATGGAGAAATGAGGTCTAAAGAACTTACATTACCCAATGAATTTCATACGGCTAATGTCTAACAGGATTCCATAATATGCCATTGGTCCCCCTCCCTCATATGGATCATGTGAAACTTATATTACCCTTTGGTTTAGTTGTGAGGAACCTCAGAACCCAATTTGTGGCACCCCTCTAGTAATTACATGGACCTTTTGGTATGAAGTTTTGGGGTATTAACATACCTCTGGCTTTATTTTGTTTTCTAGTTACTTTTGCCTCAGTTTCTCTTCCAATCATTTTCTCCTATTACAGTATATATATTTTTTCCCCAAGGATACTCAATATTTTGTGATAGAGGTGGGACATCAATACAGGCATAAACTGTCAGGCTGTATTGTCTGGCTCCCAATTTCTTTCTTTCACCTGTCATTGTCCTCTGGCTACTCACATTCTCTATTTTCCTTGACAGCCAAACTTCTTGAAAGAATTGTCTTCACATGCTGTGTCCACTTCATCCTGCCTTTTCAATTCACTGTAAACAGATTCAAAGTCTTCAATGCCTTCTTTGTTGCTGTGATATTAATACCAAAATTATATCGTATTCATACATATATGCAGGACACAAAATGGTTTTCCCTAAATCATCTCAACTATAAAAAAAATGCAGAGAAAAAAATTAATAGGTAATACATGAAAATTTTGTTCTGGGTAGCTGGATGACTGGTGAGATTTATTTTCTAAAATTTTCCACAATTTTAAAAACAAGCGCATTAGAACACATCCCGATGTAAATTAGAAATTCTCAACTTACATTTCCTAAAAGAAGACAGAAAACTAGGAAAGCGACAGTGAAGTCACTGGGCCACACTTCATTTCACCTTAAGACTGACTCAGACAAACGAGAGAGTGCGACTCAGATCCCCCAGTCCAGCGGCTGGGGCGCGGGGCACGACCGGAAACCTCTTGTTAAGATAATCTTAAGAGAGCCCCCACGACCCTTTAGCTCATCCTAAATGACCTCTGAACATCTCCACCTCTCGCGCTAACGGCTCCAAACCGCAGATAACGGTCAATCGCCTCCGGTTGTCCTGGTAACAGCCAGCAAACGCAATCCCGCCTCCGTAACGCTTCCCAGAATGCCGTGCGTTTTCTGTCTTCACTTCCAGGTTCGGAGAGCCGATTTCTTCCGGAAATCTGCCTGGGGGTCACTTGGCGTTTTCTGGCTGCGTGGCGTCTTGTTGGGCAGGGTCATGGGGACCCTTTTGTCTCTCACCGTTTAACAGGACTGGAAAGCTAAGCAAAGGCGTTACTCTCACGGAATTTTGATTGGTCGTTGATAGATGAATTGGACGTTAGTTTTTAAAAAGCCGAAGGGTGCATATGTTAGCTTTATCTAACCATTCCACAGTGTATACATTTTTCAAAACATCATGTTGTATACTATAATTTTTGTCAACTAAAAACAAAAACATTATTAAGTACTAAAAGCTGTGGAGTCAGAATGTAGAGATGAATTTTTGAAATTAGAATATTTTATTTGGGAAGAAAATAGTAATTTGGGGCATATGTGTAGACTGCGGTGGTTTTCGGTATGTCTGAAGAGTGAAGAGGTTAGGTATGTCTTTATACTGTATGCAGATGAAGGTACACATGGCATCCAAAGCCCACTCAATTTTTTAAAGTTTATTTTTCTGATTAGAAAGGTAATACATGCTTATTGAGGAACATTAGAAAATTTCAGAAGAATTTAACAAAAAAATTTCAATACCTACATAACCATTGACATTGTGGTATGATTTTTTTCTCTCTCTGTTCCTTCAACAATGAGTGTTGAAAGAGTTTTAGCTAATTTAGTAAGGCTATATTGCAGCTTTTGGTTTGTACTTTTTTGCTTATTTGTGTAGCTGAAGGGTATTGCAGATAGTCTACAGGAATAAAGCCACATACCTACAACCAACTAATCTTAGACAAAGACAACAAAAATAAATAATGGGGAAAGGACACTATTTAATAAATGGTGCTAGACAAAGTGGATAGACATGTAGAGGAATGAAACTGGACCCCTTTCTTTCACTATATACCAAAATTAACTCAAGATGAATTAGAATTAAATGTTAAGACCTGAAAAACAAAAATCCTAGAAGAAAACCTAGGAAAAGCTCTTGTGGACATTGGCCTAGGCAAAGAATTTTTGAGCAAGTCCTCCAAAACAAATGCAACAAAAACAAAAACAAATGAATTTCATTAAGCTAAAAAGCTTCTGCATAGTAAGATAAATAACTAACATACAGAATGGAAGAACATATTTGCAAACTATGCATCCAACAAAGGACTAATATCTAGACCCTACAAGGAACTCAACTGAACCAGAAAAAATTAAAATCTATTAAAAAGGGGGCAAAGGGCAGGAATAGACATTTCTCAAAAGAAGACATGTAAGTGGCCAAAAAGCATGATAAAATTCCCAACATCACTAATCATCACAGAAATGCAGATTAAAACCATGGTGAGATACCATCTCACACCAGTCAGAAGGACTATTATTAAAAAGTCAAAAAACAGATATTTATGAAAATTCAGAAAACAGGGATTGCTTATTCGCTGTTGGTGGGAATGTAAATTAGTACAATCTCTGTAGATACTAGTATGGAGATTTCTCAAAAGAACTAAAAATAGAACTACCATTTGACCCAGCAATCTCACTATTGGGTACCCAAAGGAAAACAAATTTGTAACTGGGTGTGGTGGCTCATGCTTGTAATCCCAGAGTTTTGGGAGGCTGAGGCAGGGGGATCACTTGATGCCAGGAGTTTGAGACCAGCCTAAGCAATACAGCAAAACCTCCATCTCTACAAAAAATTAAAATGTTAACCAGACATGATGGTACATGCCAGTAGTCCTAGCTACTCGAGAGACTGAGGTGGTAGGATTGCTTGAGCCCAAGAATTCAAGGCTGTGGTCAGCTATGATTACACCGCTGCACTCCAGCTGGGTGACAGAGCAAGACCCTGTCTGTGA